TGCAGTTGGTTGCACCAGGAAGGCAAGAGTACCACAACGTACACAAAGAGACGTCCAGTGCTCTCCTCCACAACCACACGTCTCGCCGACTCTCCCAGCTCAGCAAACGTACGCCGAAGAAGACGAAGGGCGACATTGGCACACAACATAGCCTCCTCTATGCTGCGCTGATCGTAGATGTTTGTCTCGTTCTCCGACACCACCATAAGGACAGCCGGAAGACAAGTGCGTTGCAAGTGTGCACTACTCTTCACGTACTCCTCCACCGCACGAGCAATCGCACTTCCAAATCTCGTTGCCGATGGACAGCCACGTAGCTACACAAATTGGCGCACTCACAATCTCAAAACCTCCCTCTCAGACGTCCTCCCTCAGCACTTCGCAATAACTGTTAGCTAAGCCATTCCAACGACATCGCAGCAAGAACAAGATTATCACTGCCATAACTAAGGTTCCACAACACACCATAAAAATCTCTGCAAAGGAACAGTTGGTGCCACAAGTTAAGTACAAAGAGAAGTGCAGACTGTGCTTCAAATCAATCCATAACAAACCTCTCATTGTGCATACAACTGGTTGTTCAGCATGCACCCCGCACCCACCTCTTACCCAAACACACTCATGCGAAAGCTATACCCCAATGCATGGCCACACTGAGTGGAGATCTCAAAGGCACCAATAAGGGTACAATTCAGCTGACAAGAAGTGAGCATCAATGCAAACCTTTGGTGCATTGGCGCCCAGCAGTTGATCCAATCGCCTCTGATGCACCTTGACCAGTCGTTCGGCTATGCCACCAAAACTAGAAGCAATGAAGTTCATCTCAACCTGCTTCAGAGGACAACCGGGCAGGGCGGAATGCAGCATGTAGTCAGATCGATTGAGAGACAGCTTGAGTGGCTGCAGTGGGCCCAGCTCATTATCCATCTGGTAGATTTTCCACAAATTGTAGACATACTCGTCTTGCGAGAGGACTCTAGTTAAGAAAATCAATACACCTTTTCAACACTCCTTGGTGCGGACAACAGTAGGCACGATGTGGTTGGTGGACTAGCATTAGCAGCTGACAAGCTATACACTTAGTGCAGTGGTGACGCAAACAATCTCACGGTTTAAAAGTTGACTCCATAAATTCGTAGTCTGAGGCCACACGAAGGAATAAGCTGTTAAAAGAGCGTTGAATGTCAACAGCCTCTTCGAACTGAATTCGTGGATAGGGCGAAGGTAGCAATGTGTGCCGAATGGTAACGATAGCCCCATCTGCAGTCCGCAACAAAAGTCCTGTACCAAATTTACCAGAGGTGATGCAACATTACCATTAAGCGCAGCAAAGTCGTTTGAGCTCAAAATAAAGTCCTTCAATTCGTCTTCAGAAAGCCTCGACCAAAGCACATCGACGCCACTCATTTGTCCCCAAAGCGAACGAACCCTAAATAGTCATATGGACGAGAAACTGTGCGCAGAACATGTGCATCTTGTTTCAAAAATCCCCAAAACAATAGTTAAATGCTGGACCGGCTTCCTACCTTACCACACTCACTATATTCAGAATTAATAAGGCGAGTAGGGTTAAGTGCACTATTTATCCCACCATATCGAATCACTTAAAACCGATGTTGTTAAAAACCCCTACTCTTTATACCACACCGCTCACCCTAGCACATGTAACCGTTACACGTAACGCATCTTAGCTGCACAAAACCCATCAAATGTAAGGCTGACGACTTCAACATTACACCAATTACCACAGGAAGGCAAAGCGTTATGATCAAATCTACACAAACCACGGCGTCAACGTGGATCAACCCTCGCGTCTTAACCTTCAATTATGGTAGTGAAGCCTTCAAACAACCGCATATTCGAAAACGTGTAAAAGTCATACTTTAGTAAGGCAGAAATTAATGCCTTTTAACTGAAGAGACTCTACAAAGCACGCTACGCAACTTTTAAATTTGTGATTTTCTTTTTGATTTTCTCCCTTTTCTCTCCTTAATCAGTTCAGAATCATAGCATCTTTATAAAGAGCGGTAGACTAATTATTGATTTGATAAGGGTGATTTGACAAATGCTCGAACAGAATGCTTCCTTGGTATGGTTCCTTTTTCAACGGCATCTTCTATAATGCATATGAAGGAAGGGATGACTGGACGCAGGTTGTTGGATTGAAGAGGTCGTAATTTGGTATACGTAAAGCCACGCAATCCCTCATCAGTTAGGTGAGGATATTAAATAGTGTTGAATGCATGCATTTGGAGGGAGGGGAACGAAGTTGGTCTATAGATTGTCCTGAATACCGGCGCATGCACACAAGAATAAAATGAATTCCAATGTGCCAGCATGTTATACAGGTACTCGAACGAACTAAGCATTGCAGTGAATATAGGATCGACACTTTGATGGACAAGTGGGTAAATATGGAGATGGTACAGATGGGTACGCAGACGGATGGAAGTGAGGTAGATACATGATAGGCTAAAAGGCGGCTTATTATGAGATGAATGTACACGTAGGAACCACATGTAAAAGCAGCTGCTTCAATTACCATGACTTGTATGATTTGTTACATACGTTAGCCTGACTCGCGCTCACTCAGAAACAGCTATTTCTTTAATACAGGCTTCCAGAAGTGGCAGACGTAATTTGTCATCCAGCTCGACCCATGTGGACCAACACTTGAGCATAAAGCAAACTCTGTCCCCTCATTCAAAAGCTATTCAGGACGGTTTCGTAACCGTGCCGACCACAATGCATATTTTTGCAACCTCCAAGCCCACACAAAAGACTTAACATCGGCATGCATTCACAGAGGAATTTATTATTTCTTTTTCATTTAATGTACGCATACATTGGTGGCCACAATGGTACAAACACAGATTTGACCGTCATATCAACAAAGATGAAGAGCGAAGGACTTAAAATGGTAAGTGAAATAAAAGAGAAAATTAATAGACGGAGCACAGTGAAAACGAATCACATACACTCATGCGCCGATATTAGCGAGGAGAAGCTAATACCATTGGTATCACCAGCTTTCATTCAAACGAAAAAAAACGCAAACCACTGGCAAGGAATACCGGCCAGGTGCGGGTCAACACACAGAGGCATTCCAGAGAAAGAGCATCAATGTGTGGAGAAAGAGATGGAGTCAGTAGTTCTGTTAGTGGTGAACTAATTAAGACAATATTTATTTACAACTAGTGCACACACTTGGACGGGAGCAGAGGGCGATTGCAGAAGCGAATTGACGACGAACTTCAGAAGTCATCTTCATCTCCCGGTTCGTCTTCAGGATCCTCATCATCCTCTTGCTTCAACTGGTTTGTAGCTTTGTCTGAGGTTAGGTCGGTAAACTTGTAGTCTTCCGTGGCCATTTGAATCGCCCACATGAACTTTTCTCGCTGCGTCCTATTGTAGACCCTTTCAATTGGAATGTTGTATCGCTTGCACCTGCCAATGCACAAACCCACGTCTTTATAAAAGCAAGAAGTGAAAAAAAACGAAACAATAAATCAGTAGGCGAATGATGTAAACTCCTAACACTGTAATGAAAAAAAAAAAACAGTTGTAGCAGCCAAAATGTCAGCATAGTTTTCAAACCGCCAATTTGGGTGTCCTCGATAGGGGAAACATCAGCTTGATTTGCGCTAAAACCGATCTTATTTAGAGAGGGTTGGTGAATAGGTCTTGGAAGCTCAAAAAGGGCCTGTTAGGAAAGAAAGTAGTGTGAAAATAGCTCGTACACAGGCACGCGCAGCGAGAGGCGCAGGAATAAACATGCTAAAGTGATGACCTTCACAAAGCGCTCTGTGTAAGTGTTAGTGGAGCCTATCACAAACAAAACAGTCAATGTTAAAAAAGGAAATCGAAAGAGATGTGCACAATCACCCTCTTACCATGCGACCGTGATCCGAGGATCCAAATAATTTAGTTTGCTTGTGCTTAAAGCGATGGTCTTATTCTCATCTCTATCCGTGGCTTGAACCTGAAGTTTCAGCAACTGTTCCTTCAGGGTTCCAAGGCGCTTTTTTAGCTTCTCATACTGAGTCCGCTTTGCTGCAGTCTTTGAATGTGAATAATCAGCCTTAATTTGCCTGGCCTCCTGCATAACATCAGCTATTTGTTCCTTTTTCGCATCAATCTGATAGACAAAAAAATTAAGTTGTGATGCATTATGGGGAAGAAAAGGATGCTGACCACTTGTACCCAAGTACAGTAGACACTACAAACTATTTAAAAGGCAACAGGAAGTACCATTAACATCTCTGAGTTCAAAAAATATGGCTGCGACTAGAGGGAATTGAACTTACCTTTTTCTGCAAGTTCTCCATAGAGGTGGAGAAGGACTTAGGCACGGCACGCTGATGGTTGCAAAGAACGGCGACGGCTCGATTGGCACGATTATACGCAAGAACCTTCTCAGCCGGTATGTCATCAGGATTGGTGAGATGCTCTAGCTGTTCCTCAAGGGTTCGACTAGCGTTGTAGGTACGAAAAACTTTGGCAGTGAGACCGTCCATCAATTCTCGTAGGTATTGGTTTAGTGTAGTCGTGTTTAGTCGATCGAAAAGGTCATCGCTGCCTTGTTTGTTCTTGATGAAGATCTTCAGATTCTTAAAAACACGCTTCGGCACGGAGACAGAATTCTGGTAACGAATCGAGTCCTTGCCAGGGAAATCAAACTCCACTATATATGGCTTGCCGTCCAACTCTTCGTGAAGTTTAATATGTTCACATCTCAAAGAACAGCATCCTACCGTATCTGCCTCATCTTCATCTTTCTCATTTCCGGCACGCAAAGCCAGCTTAAAAATACACGTACAATGACAACCCATGAGGATCATTAAATAACAGATAATTTCACCGAGAAAAGGAAGGTACCTTTGATGTAGGTACTCATAATTTAGCGCAACCTAATTGTTTGACAGGAATCCCCACTAATGAGACTTTGGAGATGTTTAGTAGAGCAAACCCGATGGTCGGCACTGCCTTTATCGAGATATGGTGTCTAATCACGACTTTCGAGTTGTTAATCGAAAAAGCCCAAACAACAACTACACTTGATAAAGACCCAGATTTCAATTCGCTACGTTTCGATCGCTCCGTGAGTAAACCAGATTGACACAAAAGGTGGACTGAAAATACTCTTGCTGTTGAAACATAGCAATAACCCCTAAATGACGTAGATGAGTAATAGCTTTGACAAGCAGCCTTGATGTGAGATCTAATTCATTAACAGCAGCTGCGAAGCCAGGTGTGAAAATGCGACAACTCAGAATCTGTGTCAAAACACAAACCGCATAACTGATGACACAAAGGTTCCAAAAAAAGTAAATGACCCCCCGAGACCAGTAATTTACTAATCCTACCTAAAATAGCTGAAACCAAGTTGGTGAGATAAAAGCAATGCGCGGTGCTATGGAAAGTGTAGTCAAAAATGGAGCCAAGCCCGCATACACAAAAAACTAATATCAGCCTACGACTAACAAGTATAGCCTGCCTAATATATCGCTAATCTCAAACAGTATTCGGTAAAAACAAAACGCACCTTGTCAATGAAGTAAAGCGCTACCGCACGTTGACGGACACGCATCTCTTTGGACTTAAAATCAGCACGATAGTCAGCGCGAATCTTGTCTACACAGCTGTGAAGCCTTCTGGCGACTTCGTACTTTTTCCAATCCTTTTCACCCTGAAGGCAGCCTATTCGTGTTGAAAGGATCGCTCACCTTCAGACGGGAGGAAGCATTAAGCATTACATACTTAAAGTTATTCTGGACATTTTCAACCCAGCAAGCCAGCCACGTAACGGTATTATCATGACGCACTTCCTTCCAACGGTGGCCCGAAGGAGGAGAAGGGACTTTGGCATCTTGTGAACAATTAATTATGACGTCTTCTGGGAGTATACGCTTTTTCAGCGTGCCAGTTTTTGGATGATTGCCACGACCGCGAAACAAACCCGGTGGTTCAATACGGAAATTTGCAATTCTCTGCTTGTGACCATCAAGTATACAAAAACCGTACTGCTCCACAGTACGCTGGTTTTCTTCCTTAATCTTCTGTTTTTCTTCCTTAGACAAATTCTTACGCTCTTCAGCCTTCTTTTTGTAGTATTCCGCCATGTAAGTGAAGTCGCATCTTGAAAGTTTTCTAATGATTTGTTTTTCCTCGAGAGTCATCACCTAGGAGGCTATGATAAAGTCCAGTCTTCACAAACCCTTTGCCAATCCTTGAAAAAATTATTGTTAAAGACCTCCATTTTGGTATAGTCATGGTCCAGCATTTTAGCGTAAAATCCAGCTACCTCTTCGGCCGCCTCCGACAATTTAATGCGTTGACCGTCGTAGAAAAAAGGGACACTGTCCGGTAGCGGAACATATGGAGGAGCGAACAATGGGCCATTATGTTCTAAAAACCGCCACTTGTATTTGCCGTTGCTATTTTTTTCCTCCCACCACTTCCAAACAGTTTCGCTCTCTTCCTCTTTTATTCTTTTTTTGGGTGAAACTGTGGCCGATTTCGATTTAACATCATTTTTAAAAGGACTCTTCTCTGGTTTAATTTTGATGTCGTTTGCCATTGGTTCCGACTTCGGGCGCTTCTTCTTAAAAAGAAAATATGTTTTCACAAAGGAACTTGCCGGAAAATCAGAGAGAGGCTCCTTGTGTTTCCTTTTCCGTGATTCCTTCATTCTACATCACAGAAGACTATGCCAATATTTATGCTCACTTTGTGGCCAGTGGGACGTCGTCGTCATCACTGGACGAATATGTCCGTTTCAAACTCATACGAGCGGCCAGAGGCACATCTTCCTCTTCGCTCTTTATATCATGAGAGTTTCCGTTGTTCATATTCACGATATCAGAAATCGCCATTTATGAATGATGTCTAAATGAGTACCGAGATCTACTGGATAAGAGCTCAAGAACACAGCACCGACAAAGACAACCACAGCCCACCAAGCGCAGTCGTACCAGTTATATGGACTTGGGTCAGTTGGATATATTTAAACACAGTATTAATCGTAAATTAAATATACTTGTCCCCTGCACAAATTTATTTTGCAAATTACATTCACTTTTTAAATTCAATTTAATTTTTACTATGTACTGTTTATTTAATTTTACGTAAAAGGGCAATTAAATGCGATGCAGCAATGTAGGACAGAGTTTCTTACCAAATAGTTTTACTGACCGACAATGTGACATCTGCATCAAGCAGTTTTTTCTTTGCATAGAATGTTTAATAGAGCTATATATTAAGTAAACCATCTATATGGATCCTATGTGCAAATGTATACACTCGCATGTGTGGGCTCAGTAGAAGTTGGAAATAAGTTTAAATAAATAAAGTTTAACTTCGATAAGTGTCTTCGTTTCTTACACAGTAAACTAATACGTTGTTTAGTACCTACGTCGAGCCTTTCATAAAACAATATGTAAGTAGATTAATTTCTCTTCTTAAAGGCATTTGGGACATTGTTGATGCATAAGTCCCTTTCCTAATATTTACATGTACACTTCCCAGAGACCTCCCGCTAGGCATAAGAATATGGTACGTTAGACCACATAATGCGTTCTAGAAGGAGAAGAAAGGGTCGAGTTATGACTTCACTCGAAGGCCGGTCCAGGCTCACAAGATCAAAACGAATACCAAACTAACTGGTGATTTAATAAACAAAGCATTGAAGCAGGGTCCTTAGACTATTGAGGACACGAGAGGGTATAACACAAGAGCAGGATGCGCATGTACTCAGCGAGCAGTAAGAAATTAGGGATTATACGATGGTTTTTAGTCACCACATTCGCTCCCAAAAACGTAGCAAATCAATTGTTTTGAGTAGTACTGTTGCGGTTCTTTTCGTCAGTTTCATCTGCCCTTTGTACACTCCTTTGGAGCCATATTAATAGCATAAATAGTTGCAACAAACGTATTTTACCCCATCATATTCCCCCCTCCCCCCCAAAGTCTCATTCTTGTGGTTTCAAGCATCCAAATACGGAAAAAGCAGTATTTGGCAGACAGGCGGTTGGCTGTTCAATTGTTATTAATCTCGAACGGGCCAGCTTAACAGATACAATCAAATATATCAAATGCATTAACACGAAGCCACTTTTGTGCGTGTTTGCGAAACTGCATAGAGGGGATAGAAATTGCGTGATGGTGCTTGAATAAGCTCGAATTCGTGGTACAATGATCCACAATGAGTAAATCTCACAACCCAATGCCACTGATTTATCTAAATTCAAAAGAACTTTAATAAAATGAGATTTGACCATGCATTGAAAATTCTGAATGCGAATAGGTGTGTCCTGTTGTACAACACCAGAATTTTGTGCTTGATGATCAAACTTCAAATGGAAAATTATGAGTAGGTCCGGATGTAGGCCAACATTCGACAAAAACTGAGCTAAAATCTGAAAGGACTTATCACTAAATCAAATTGGATTAAAATCCTTTGATTGAGCACTTAGGAAAGTTATTTGGTATGGCGTAACCTCCAGTGCATTTTACTGTTTCATCACTAAGTTTCGGTGATCAAGTGAGGAAATCGTTGCGGAAAGTAGGGTTCGACACCAGAGCGAGTGTGGACGTGCAATGATCTGCAGCAGGCTTAAACAGGGCAGCCAATCAGACTTCCGGGATAGGGGCTGGGCCACCACGTTTGGTCTTATATCATCGACAATTTGGCGCGCTAAAAATGAATTTCATCGACTTTTGATCAACAAATAACTGCAATTCGCAGATTGTGAGGACCAGCTTCGACTGTAAAGTGTAGCCGGTCGTCTTATTGGTAGCGAGAATCGACACTCTATAAGGTCTGTGGTCTGTGACAGTGGCGGTGGCATAGTTCAGATTAAAATCAAGGAAAATTTCGAAGATCGAGGCAAGTTTATACGCGAATCAAGCCAATCGGAGGATTTTACTAAGCTTCAATCATCGGGCGGTGGCAATGCTTTACCGGTTTATACTCCCTTACATTGAACGGCAAATTAACGCGTAATTTATGGACAAAAGGTATCTTGTTGGGTCTAGTTACAGTCTCATCACTCTCAAAGCAATCATCAACCTTTCTGCTGTGGGTTCGGCAGTTTCCGGCCACGGTTTGGTAACTGGGCCACGCGTTTCAGACATTCCTCATCCATATCCGCATTCTCAGCAAATGATATGCTATCCACCAGTTCCCCTGAGATGGATACAGATATCTCATTAACTAGGATGCCACGAGTATGGCGCATAGCCAATCTAATGTAGCTGAGCGAATAGGAATAGATTTAGGATGACCAAACATAAAAAATATGCTTTTGAGGCTGATAGTAGCTTTTTCTAGTAAAAGGGGACGATTTAGGTCAAGGCAAATGCGACTATGCTAAGGCTTCTGAGAATGATGCATAGAGCGATGCCTCTTTAAGTCGTGCTGCATAATGCTCAGGGCTATCATTGCTGACGTATTAGGCAGGCACTCGTCCTTCTGGAGCTGCGTCCATAACCCTAAATAACAGCTAACTCGGGAGGGGCGAACGTGGCTGTTGGCTTAATTTCCCGGCAACACCTCTAGTGAGACCGAATGGAACCAGGACCTTACAAAAGGCGGTATTAGGCATACTTCTCATATTTTCCGTTGGCGTACTGCCGTCAGCAAGTAACCAGAAGTCGAGGGGTCAGTTTGGCGAGTGTGGTCCTTTTACGCCCTCAAAGCAACTTTTCACTGCAGATGAGGTTGAATGATGGAGTGACTGATCCGAATTGCGGGAACAGAAACAGATGTAGTGAGCACTACTAAATTTATTACACGTCGAGGTGTTTCGACGTCGAGGCGGTCGGTTATGCATATGCATTTCCATTTAAAGTAACTCACCATTTTATGGTCTTAAGCACATTAAAAGGGATTTAAATAGAGAATTTTATTTCCAGTAATCTGCATAGTACTGAGGAGCATTGAAGGTAAACGCCGACATGAAGTTATTGGACTAGTGCATAGCAAAAGGTACTGTTACTTATGGATCGCCTCGAATCGTCCTCTACGTTGAAAGAGGGAAAGGACCGACGACGTGTGGAAGGGTTTGAGGGCTAATGAGACAGTCGTCCAACTACGTTAAACTACAGGAGTGTAAAACGGAGCTCTAGGTGCAGTTAAAGTCAGAACAAGTGCCAAAATAGTCAAAGCATTACAGAGCTCTTATTTTTCTTGAGTGAAACCGCCAGTAATCCTCTTAGTTGACTCTTTTGAATTGACAATTGCAGTGTTGTTAACGTGGTGAGAAAAAGTAGTCAAGCACCAACAGTACCAGCTATGTAAGTTGTTTGCGGTTCAGAAGACACTTTATACGTCCCAACAAACTCACTTAAACCGACTTTTGGCCCTCGAGAGAGCTGTGTCGGAGCAGAGGAGATGTTTCCACCATCTTCAAATGTGGTATTGTGTCCTAATCCACTCGGGTTCTGCTTAGCTGAAAAAAGAGGTAGAGGTGAAGGTGGCATGATTTCGTTTCGTCAAGGCCTTCATACGCTAAAAGTAGACAAATGATAAGATGCCAATGACATTCCTGCACAAAATGAGATTGGGTTAATTGTCGTTGAAGACTTCAACACTTTTCTTGGAAGCCGCTGCATGAGGTGTGAATCAAGGTGGTCGGGCTTTGTTATCACCTGGGATTGGCCCTGAGACATCTATGAAAATTTAAAAAAGACAAAATCCTCTATAATTTGCTCAATGAAAGCACTGGACAAATGACGTAGTCTTGGAGTCATGCAGAACAAGCGAGGCACATCGGTGCAACCTTCAGTATCGACGCCATAATTTCCTTGCAAAAATTGTCTGGAAATCTCGCCTGACAGAAGTACTGCACTCGTGAAATGTCCTTGACAAAGGAACGAAAAGTTGGGATGCAAACGAAGGTAGGCGATGTAAGATAGGGAAGGTAAATTGACTTGCATTACAACAGAGCCGTCAACTGAAGTGCAGATGGAATGCGTTGTTTCATGAAACGCAATTACTACCAATATTTGTAAACTTTCCCGACACCATATCAAGCGGAACTATTGAGACTTCCCCACATTGGGTGAATCATTGTAAAGAGAGTTCTGACTGTACTCAATCCTCGTCCTACGCATCTTGATTTAGCAGTTCACCTTCACTAGCATGCTTGCTGTCAATCGGGTGTCATTTGGGTTCATTTTAAGCCTTTGCTTTGAAAATGTTGGACTTTTTTAATCAAATTGAAGCACCCCAGTTGGTGGTAAAATAGATACAACTCCTCATAATGTTACGATAACGTCGCATGTCTCAAGGGTGTCATTATCACTAACTGGCTATTATGGACCCCTAGGACCGAAGAGGATGACCGGTGTTGGCTCTGTGTGCGTGCGTAATTTTCGTTAAAATGGAATAGTGGCAAGTCGCCGCATTCACGAGCACAGAGAGATGCGCCAGTGGACCACAAGTCGGGTGTCACCTCCTCCATTTAGGTCCGCTCCCATTGTCATTCTAGTGGAGACTCCAAAAGTACACTCTTCCCAACGCCGTAGAGGCCGTACAGTTGACCATAGAAGTGCCGTGACAAAAAAGGGCGGCAGTTTGAGAGTGATGCGCTTCAGATTTATACCCATCGAATGGAACCAGTTAGGCTGCTAAAAGTACGCACCAGATGTGACAATTAAATGCAAGAGGGGACAGAAATGCAGACAAGATGCCGTTGATGTGGGCGGACAAAAGTGGCGTGAAATACCATTTTCAGCGATGGCTGACTAATCTGCAATTGCCATGAGTCATGACAATGAGACGCGACGTCAAGTGCGTACGATTCCAATGCCGTGTCAAACGCCAACACAAAAATTCCAGGGGGCATCCAATCTGTGTTGAAAAATGTGGAAG